CACTCGGGAGGCGAAACAAAGACTACTGTGAGTCTAAGGCCAGCCTGGGCTACAAAATGAATTCAAGGCCAGCAAAACCCTGTCTCAAAAAGAACGAAACAAGGGGCTGGGGATTTAGCTCAGCGGCATAAGTGCCTGCCTTGCAAGCAGGCAGTCGTGAGTTCGATCCCTGGTACCAACAAAAAACGAAAAAGACCAAAAAAAAAGGAACAAAACAAAAATAAAGTAAAATAAAAAAGAACAGCACTCTATTAGAAAGGGAGGCTGAGGTAGTAGAGGAAGGCACCATAATACATAAGGGATTAATCAAAGTTTAAAAAGGAAAAAAAAAGCAGCAGCAGCAGCCACAGAATTTAGAAAAAAACACAAGGGATAGTTATGAGAACATAGTGGTCCAAAAATCATGTAACATAGGGTAAAAATAGACCTATTTTGGCAGTGGTGTTAGAAAAGTGTAACTATACAATCTCTGTCAGCAAAAAAGATACTAAATCAGGAAGATTCAATTATATTTGCCTACATATATATTTAGGTCACAGCAGAGAATCACTTTTAGAAACCATCTATGTTAGTGGAAATAAAAGACACTGGCATTCAAAAGAAAAAGCAAAGAATTCACTAAATCTTTGACTGCTCAATGGCTTCCTACAACAAAAAAATTTCCTATTTAAGGCAGCTACATTCCTCCTCACATTAGTTTTCATGCCAAAAGCTGGACCCAAGGTGGCTATTCTACAGCTTCCTCCAATGAGATGAAAGCTGTATCAAGTGTGAGTTCTCCCAAGTAACACTATGATTACAGTTTTTCTTAATTAACCTGTTTGTTCCTTAAACACACAACCAAGATGTTCTTTAGAACAGTGAACAGGGAAGCACTTCATTCAATAATTTAAACAGATTACTTACCTATCGTGTTCATTCTGACAGGTAAAAACCAGACAATCGTGACTTTAATTATGACTCTAATTACAAAGCTTACCCTCCAGATGAAGACTTCTTGATAACTGAGTACTCAAGATCTGCTCTGTAAGGGTTCCCAACCTATAAACCCAAAAGTCCATGGAGTAAGTCCTTGCTGGATCAAGTTACTGGGTAAACTTCAGACTTGATCCTTGCTGGATCAAGTTACTGGGTAAACTTCAGACTGACAAGTTTGAACTCAGTTCTACCTCTGATTCATGATGCTTTTTCTATTAGTTTTTGTGGCACTAGCGATGAAACCCAAGGGCTCAGGCATGCTAAGCAAAAAGTTCTAGCACACAACTCATCTCCAGCCTTTGTACTTATAAATTAACCTAAAGATTTACAGTTAATGAGTTAGGAAATGTAAGATTTCACAATGTTATCTGTATCTCATTTACTTCTAAATTGTCATGAGTGTCAAGAAACTCAATGAAATTGCTTGGTATATTATGAAACACATTAAAATGTAAAATTATCCACAAAGGATGACTCTCATAGTATTTTCTATTCTTAGCACTGAACCTTTTCTGGCCCTTTGAAAACAGTAACTTTGACCAACAATAAAATTAGATTTTCAAGAAGTGATCTAAAGAACAGATGTAAATTTTCTCTATGTAGCTTCTGAAACTGATGAAAATACCCTTACGTTTCATTGACTATTAAGTATTGTGCAACTGAAGGACCTATCAAAATTATTTGGTATCATTATTTGAAGAGAACCAAGTTCAAAACTACTTTTTTTTTTTTTTAATTGGTACCAGGGATCGAATTCACGACCATGCATTTGCAAGGCAGGTGCTTATGCCGCTGAGCTAAATCCCCAGCCCCAATTTTTAGACACACTCTAATATTTAAGATTCATACCTGGAAACGAACTAAGCAATAGATAAGCAATAACCTATGGGACATCTAGAGAGACCAATGGGGTAAATGCCCAGAATACCTGCAGACTTATTTCCCTGCTATGTGGTCTAATTTAACAAGAATCAGGACTACACACAGTATTTTTTTCAGATAGTTACAAGTAATCAGATAACCTTATATATGATATCCCTGCAAACAAGAGGAATAAATTAATTAAAAGTTGAATACCCACCAGAAGGCTACTGATTAAATGACCAGTTAGCTCAGAATAAAGTTTTAGCTAGAATAAAGTAGAATTATGGTCTCATGGCTGCTGACAAAGAGCTGCACCATGCTCAGTATTTTATAATAATCTATTTTTAAAATTGGCTATCAAGAACTACTGGGTCGGGGCTGGGGATTTAGCTTAGTAGCATAATCACCTGCCTTGCAAGCGCACAGTCATGAATTTGATCCCTGTACCAAAAAAGAACTACTGGCTGAGGTGGATATGGTGGCACACACCTGAAATCCCTGCACTTGGAAGGCTGAGGCAAGAGTGTTGCCACACGTGTAAGGCCAGCCGGGGCTACAGAGTGAGTTCAAAGTCAACCTAAACCATATAGTGAAACCCTATCTCAAAAAAGACACCCCACCCCAAAAAGAGAAAGCACTATCATTCCTCTCCAATGGACCTTCAGGTTTAGCCTGGGCAACATTCAATTCAGTTTCAAAAAGCAATTATCTAGGGAACTTTTCTAACATATAATAAAAAAAATTTGACAGGGTGGGTAAGCATGCGTATGTAGAAGATAATCATCCAAGTATCTTTTCCTTTTTTGGCATTTAATGCCTTTTAGCATCATTTTCTAACTGCCATCAATTTACTTGAGAATTAACAGCATTAGACAGGTAACATGACACTATTTAAGGATGGTAACTTGGGTAAAGAGTCAACATTGCATATGACCATCTTTGAGCTCTAGTCAAAAAGCATGGGATTGGAGAAGAAAAAGGGACCTCCTGAAAGAAATTGTATCTGGTATGATCAAACACCTTGACCCTTAAATTGTCTCTCATCAAGATGCTAATCATGTTTCCTCTCAGTGATTTGACTCCTTGAAAAGGAGAGGGAAAAAAAGAAAAACTGGTGGGAAATGAAGTGTCAAATGGAGTGTGGTGCACACCTGTAATCCCAAGCACTCGGGAGGCTAAAGCAAGAGGACTGCCATGAGTTTAGGTCAGCCAGAACTGCATGAGACCCTGTCTCAAAAAAAAAGGAGGAAGTGACACACCTTCCTAAGATTTGGAGCAAAATCAAGAATAGGTGATTTCTCCTGCCCACAGTCAGCTTAAAAAGAAACATTAATTTGAAAATGTCATCCTAACAAATTAGCATGCCAACTCCAAAAGACTGAGCACCTTCAGGAGCCCATGACACTCTACTGCCTCATCTTTGATAAGCATGAACCATCAGTCTTTAAATGCTATGGCCACTGTTTTTAGGTAACTGTTTCATGGGATATCATCCTTCGGAATCATCACCAAGAGATCAACTACAAAAAACAAAACAAAACAAACAAAAAAATTATCATTTGGTAGGACTGGAGACGTAGCTCAGTAGTAATGACATCAGGCCATGGGTTCAATTCCTAGCACCAAAAAAAAAAAAAAAAGTAAAATTGCCATTTTTTAAGCTGGATAATGCCACATGTCTACAGTCCTAGGTGCTAGGGACAGCAGATCATTTGAGATCAGCCTGGGCAATATGGAAAGAACCCACCTCACAAAAAAAAAAGAAGAAAACTCATACACACACACCCTTTTTTTTCAGTTTTTAGTATTTCCCCAAGACATGTTCTGTTTCTTGCACCTACAAATAACCTTACTTTTGAAAAAGTATGAATGATAACTTACTTTAACTGAAAATTTTCATTTATACAATTGTTTCTCTATCTCAACCTGGACTTCAAACACTGTAAATACGTAAGATTCTTAACAGAACACCAGATAAAAAAGTTACCTATTCTAATATTAAAATACTATTTTAAAAGGAAACAAAATTTCTCACAAAGGAGATCTCTGCTAAAAGGCCAACGTATTATCACACATAAATCTGAATTATCATATGTGACAGAGTATCATGTCCCACAACCAAGATTTGACACTTAGAACATATCAGAGTTTTACAACTGTGACAACAAAATATTAGAAAGGCTTCTCCAGATATTTTTTATAAAGTTAACTCAATCTGTAACACTAATTCAAAAGCCTTCCTTTTAGGAGGAACTAAACTTAGTGGGTAAGTCTGCCTTTATTACTGCTGATCCCAGTATTTATGATAAGCACCATTTGTTACAGTTCCTTTGAGCATTAGTGAGACACAGTTAGCTCCAATTCATTTGTTATTTTCCCGGATCCTTTCAAGCAAGTCTAAACAAAACTAAGAATAATGTGGATATGTAATTCTTTATCTACAAGAGTAGTTTTGTAGTAAAAGTGAGAAGTGATGACATTTCGAGTTAAATAATCCTTTATCTTCAGTATCATGAAAAGCTGTGTCAAACGTTTTATGTAAACTACAGAATACATACTACCTCATGCTATTATGGTGATTACAACATATAACTATCACAGTTCTAACAGTAACATTCACTTCTTCTAAGTTATGAAAGTAAAGATGATACATAAAGCTTATCTTTTAAATAAAAAATTTTAATAGGGAATTAAATGTTAAATAACTAAGATAAAAGTACATTTCTAGCCTGTCAAATTTCCCATATCTGGATGACATCTACAAGTTCATTACTGGCTCTATGCTACCTGGAAGGCAGAGACATTACATAAAACTCTATAACTGTAAACCAAAGTTATTATACTAATTCATAAAATTTATGAAAAAACAAAAATACTATCACCCATGTTTCTACATGTCTTTTCTGAGACATGTGGGACACCGGACTAGAAAAAGCACAGTATCTCAGAGGATTAATAAAGTTGAGTTTTGAAGCCTTTCTTTTATCAGAGTATTTTTTTAAGAGTCAAAAAAATTGTTATGTGAAACCTAGAATTTTAACTAAAACATTAATTTTAGTTATCACAGAAATAGTATGACCAGACATTTATGAATAGATACTGCAAATGTGGGGAATAATAAACAAAGCAGAATTCATGGTTACCATATTTACACATACTCTTTGTTGTGTTTCAGTGCCACATGATCTGATTCAAAGTAATAAACATCAGGGTCATCATCTTCCTCTTCTGTAATGTGCGGATTGGCACTCTCTTTGGCAGGTGGCATATGTCCGATACTGAGTCTTCCCTCTGAGGGTGGCTTACTTAGTCCTTCACTTCCATATTTCTGAGAGTCACAACATAAAACTTTTTCATTTTGAGAAATTTCATCAGGATTTGTGGGAGATTCACTTACATTATCACTACCAGTTGCATCTGTTTCATTGGGGCTAAGATTATTCTCCTCAAATTGTCCATTCTCTCTGCAAGGAGAACTGTTTTTAGTGGGACTAGCTCTGGCAGGGGCGGCCCTGCGTGGTGAAGCTCTCAGGGTATAGCGATGTTCTTGCGGTTCTGACAGAGATGTCATCTGAGCTGAGACACAGTCTAGAACAGATGATGGTTCTGGTTCTCCAGAGACTGGCATGCTCTCAAGATCTGCGTCCAAGACGTGACTGCTATTTTCATTACACTGCTCTTTTGAGGCACTGCTATCTCCCACCACATCTACTTCCTCCTCAGAATCCCTTAAAGATGACTGATTTTCAGAAATGGGGCCTGAAGCTGGCTCAGTGGTCAGCTGATTAACACACTCCACAGACAGGCAGGCAGTTACTATTTTGTGGTCCTCCAACTTGACCTGCACTTCTGAATCTGTGCAAGGCACGTTATGGTCTATATAACTGTCGTCCCTCCTATTATCATGGAACATTGAAGTCTGGGTTTCTGAATCCCCATTTTCAGCTACTGATTTCTCCTGCAATGCATAGGAACCAGCACTACTTTGCTTTGCATTCCCATCAGGCTGACAGTTGTCACAGTTTATCCCAGTGGAATCACTGTCATCAACACCATTGACAGTCAGATAGCCTGTGATTTCTTCAACTACTGCAGAATTAAGTGGCCCTTCCTCACTGACATTTACCTTTTTAACTTCCCTTTTCTCACAATCATCCAGTATAAGACATCGACAAGCACGTTTAGTCCCTTGAAAATCTGCATCATTGTCCACTCCTGTCCTCCTCTGTTCTACTGACTCCTTGTCTGACTTGATAGGCGAATCTTCCTCTGAACTGTGTGGTGCTTCAGATCTAAGACAACGTTTAATTCTCTTTAAAACTGGAGATACAGGTTCTGTTTGCCTTCTCTCACAATTTTCTACAGCCTGCCTTTCTAGGTTATCCTTTTCGGAAGAAGAAAGTCCTCTTTTCCTAGGGCTTACCCATGATTCTCGTGTACTCTGCTGCTTCAAATCAGTGGTTTTTCCATTATTATTTCCTTTCTGAATTTGCACAGGATCTGGTCTCTTCTTTGGAGATCTTGATCGCACTTGAGAATGAGAAGAGAGTTCTTCAGGGTGAGCAATGCTACGATTCCTTAAAGTTCTACCACAAAAAGATTCATCCAAGCCGTTTAACCCCACTGTTGATCTTGTAACACGAGTAGATCGGGAAGCAGCCATACTATGGCAAGTCCCTACAATACGGTCATCATGATCCACTCATTGGGAAACCTTCAAAAATGTAAACAAAATAATGAGAAAAAGGTAATAGTTAATATACCTAAAACAAAAGCAAAAAGCTATAATTTTAATCCAAGTATAGCCAATATTAATTAACTATGGGACAGTTTTTTTAAATTAACATTTCCAACTAACAATTAAAAACCACTTAATATATTCTGAGAACTGTTCTACATGTTTAACATATATTAATTCATTTGAGATGGCTGCTATCATTGATTTTTTTACAAATGAGATTGAGGCACAGCTCGAATAATCAGGTTCAAGGTCAAACACAGCTACAAGTGGCAAGGCTCACCCTCTTAATCTGCCTCATTATCTGTCTCTCAGACAGGCACAAAGTACCCAAAAAGATATACCCTAAAAATGAGGTTTCACCTTGGTTACTAAAATAATAACCTTGAATTTATTCAGCAGTTGTCTTACAAAACTGTTCTCATCACTACTATTATCCTTTCAAATCATTCCTGGAAGACAAAGGCAGGCTATGCTCTTCTTAATACATTCTTACTGAACTGAGTTTCAGTTCAAATCCCTTGGAAACAAGCTATCTGGCATCCAAAAATTTTGGTTGCAGTAGAACGATGGATGAAAAATCATAATCCTAGCTTCTACTGGCCAAGAACAAGACAGCAAAGCAAAACCTTCCCAGTCTTTAGAAACAAAGTATAATCAGCAAGTGAAAGGAAACACTCTAAAGAGGATAGAAAGAACAGAATGGAAAGAAGCCTCCAAAGCAAATATCTAAATTTAAGAAATCAAAATTACACATAGAATTCTACCCTTTCCTTCTCTGAACTCATGTGTACAGTGTGGGCAAATTTTAATGCCTGGTTTGGGAGATGAGCGTTTTCTGGTGTAGATGTTTCATGTTTCTAAGAGAAAAAATGGGAGGGACACTGAAAATGCCCACAGTGATCCACTTTAATAAATTGAGAGATTTAAAGATACTTTGCAAAGTCTCCCCCACCAAGCAGAATAAAGCTCCTGCTAACATTTTATGCCTCTGTTACCCTTCTCCTCTTCTGCTTAGCTTTCCTAAGTTACTTTGTTGTTTCACTTTCTGATCTCAAAAAGGGTACAGGAGTTAGAGAATAAAGCCAACAGGGGCTCTAAGGCAAAATTTCCCAGACCCCTCCTTCCTGTTTTTTATCACACGCCCACCACCTTGGGTCTAACCCTAAATGCTATTCCATTCCCTTGCCCTGCAAATCAAACATAAGCTCTCTTTTGCCTCAACTAGAAGGTTTCACAGTAAAGGTCAGAACTACAAAAGACATAGCAAAGTGCTGCACAGACAAACAAGAAACAGTAATAGAAATTGTCTCCCATCCCCTCCAGCTGAAAAACTAAATGAGACAGTGCCCTGTAAAGGACAGAAATTGGTAAGTTGAGGTTTTTTTTTTTTTTTTTCAGAGTATGACATACTACTAAACTTTTAATTAAAAGTTTACAAGACTCATAAAACCAGTCCTAAATTAAAGCACACTTACTTGTTCTGGAGATTTTAATTGGAATCATGTGAACAATAAGTTTGGGACACTAATCAGAACTTAGAAATGGTTTCTTACAGTAAAATGTTGCTATTTGGATATTCGTTAAAGGGATCTCTGACATATAATTCTCTTTTGCTAATATCTTGTCAAGATTACAGTCTTTTATTCAGTATAACAAACACTGTCTTACAAATGTTTACATTTACTTACAATGAATTTAAACCTTAAATGACGTTTTTACAGAACATAACCTGAAAAGTAATAAAAGCAATTTTGTTTTTTGTACCCAAATCTGGAACTCTTAAAATTTAAGGTTAGATATTTAATAGCTATGTAAATACAAAAAGAAAATAAGTTAATTATACAAATAAACTATTTACAAAATCCAATGTAAATACCTTCAATGCGAACTTAACTATATTCATAATTTATGTTTTAATAACATTGGTTTTAGTATTTTATAAAAACACAATCTGCTAATCTTCATTTTTAAAAATGCAGTGCCAATTAAAGGCATAAAACATCTCAAGCGATTCTAGCAACAGGATTTCCTAACTCTATTTTCTTTTTACATCAAGCTGAATGGATGCAAAATATCCATTTTATAGTACAACCACCCCAAAAGAGACAATTTCAGATGAAATAAACCTATTATTAGTATGCAGAATTACTTGTAAGTATATGCATGGGTGTATATAAGTCACTATAAAATATCAAGTATAATAAGGTGAATTATTTCTTCACCATTTCAGTGAATAAAACAACCAAAAACACAGACTAATATAAGAAAAGACTCTCTTTTTTTGGTTCCCTAAAAATATGTGTATTCCATTCAACTACAATGGAAGCCCAAGTCTTAGGGTTACAGAATGCTGTCTGTTAAGCCACACTGAAATAAAACCTGTCTTAAAATAAGCATCCTTTGGCACTTTAAACTCTCTCCACTTTGAAGTGTAGTTCAAAACCACCACCACTAAGGCGTCTCTAGGAAGCGAGTTAGAAACGCAGTTTGAAGGCAGGGGCAGCTCTGTGGAAAAGCGTTTGTGAGGATGTATGGACTTGGTTCCCAGAACAGCAAAAAAGAAGAGGAGAAAAAAGAACAAAAGAGGAGGAGAGAGCTGGAGGGGAGGAAGAAAAAAAAGAAATGCTGAGCCAGGCGTGGTAGTGCAGGTCTGCAGTCCCAGCAGTTAAGAGGCTGAGCCAGGAGGATCGCGCCAAATTCAAGGCCAGCCTGGACTACACGGAGTCACAGCCAACCCGAAGTACATAATGAGACCCTGTCTCAAGCCCCACCCACCCAAAAAGAAATGTAGAACACCAGACTCCCACAGAATCCAATGCCCCAGTGACTCCTGCACGTGCTGCAGTTTGAGAAGTGCTGCCTCAGCCCGCTGCAATCAGTATTCTAAAATACAGTCTAACACAACATGATATAGTCATCAAGTTTTAAACCAAATTAGGTGCCTTGCTAGATCTTAACAATAATTTTTTAAAAAGTGTAAAGCCATGGTCCCTCTGGCTAGGGAAATACCAAGAAAGTACTACATAAATCTTTTGCCAGGCATGATGGTGCATGCCTGTAATCCTAGCACTCAGGAGGCTGAGGCAGGAGATGACTGTAAGTTCAAGCCATCTTAGCTGCATAGTGAGTTCAAGGCCAGTCCGTACTACATAGCAAGACCTGTCTCAAAACACAAATCAAAACAAAGCTCTCCTGACTAGAATCAAAATATTACATACACTTAGTTAAAATTATGAAGATTAGACTTAAAACTTATCAGTCTTCCATTTGATCTTTTTCTTCAGTACTAGTCTTTTCTTTGGATCTTTTCTATTTTCAATCAGAATATATAAATGAACATATTTTCTATACTCAGCGATAAACTGAGCACAAACTTTAATAATAAAAAGGAGCTTCAAATGTCTATACTACTTCAACCGAAGTGTCAACACTGTCTTGCCCCACTTATTAGCAAAATACTACAGGCAAAAGCTATTCTTCTCTCATTCTAGCCCAATACAGTTACTGAAAAACCCAATGAAAAGGTTTGGAGTACAAAATTATATTCCTGCCAAATACTGGGCTGCCAAGGAAATAGAAATAAACTCATTTACAAACTATGAAAGGAAATACCTCTGTAGTTAATGAAATAGGAGACATATGGTTAAAACCTTGCCCTGTACCCATTTGGAAATAGAAATTTAATCATTCTAGTTTTAGAACTGAGGGAAACCATTAGTTAATATATTCATATGAGCAAAACCCAATCTAGCAATTAGACTAAAGTCTTCCTACATTACCCACCATCTAACGAACAATGGCACTTCCTAGGCTACAAAGAAAAGAGTACATGATCAATCACTAGAATTAAACAGACGGTCTTCCCACCTTACATCGTACTGGAAGACATAACTGAGAATAGTAGTTAACCAAAGTTGAGCCTGATTGCTCTTAGTAAGCCCCAAATCCTATACCATATCCCACTCCTTATCTGACACAGATCCACTTCCCTTAAAACCTGAATCAACTCAGCCAGGCATGATGGCACATGTCTATAATCCCAGCACACGGGAGGCTGAGGCAGGGGCATCACTAAGAGTTCAAAACCAGCCTAGGCTACAAAGCGAGCTCAAGGCCAGCCTGAACTGCACAATGACACAAAAACACATCCAAAAACAGAGCAACAAAAAAAAAAAACTTCAATCAGATTTTACCCAAATCTAACTGGAACATTATCAATTATGCTTCAGATCATGAATTTCCAGCCCCTGTGGTCACACTGCAGATCAGTTCATTAAGAACTAAAAAGAATAATACTAAACAGGGAAAGATCCACAACAAAATACTGTTCTAGCAATCTCTACTTAAAAAAAATCTTAAAAAACTATTTCAAAAAACACTGCCTCTAACCTTTTGCTCCTACCACAGTCAACAAAAGTGTTGTTTATTTTGGGAACTGAGAACCTGGCAATCCTCCATTAATACCAATGTTCTAGTTGATACTTACTATCATAATATTTAGTTTTGTTAAGGGAACAATTTTCAGGAAACTGGTCCTGATGATACTAGTGTGCATTCATACAAAAAAAAAAAAGAAAGAGCAGCTGGGAAATGTCACCAATATGTCTATTTTTTTTTCTTGTTTAGAATATAAACTGTTTAACAATATTCAGGCTATGCTTATCATACAATTCTAAAATTATTTCAACTGTGTAATTACCACTCTGTAAGATTAATAGTAAAAGAGTGAAAACTAGAAACCACCCATGTAATTCAACTTAAGGTTCTTAACAGTCACCTCTCTGTAGTCTAAAAACTATTATGAACTGTCTGATATAAAAGGATTTCTTCTTCCTTCCTCATCGAGAGAGGTAATTAGGTAGGTAGGTAGACAGACAGATAGATCTGAATATACAACACTTAAAAAGATAATAGAAGAGCAAGAGAAGTGAAGTACCTAGGATGTCAAGATAGGTTTAATGGTCTAGAGATTCCAACATTCTCAGTCATTTCATCCTCTTTTTGGGGAATGAATAGAAAAATACTTCATCTCTAGTCCATACCCGAAGGTTCACATTCCAAGATTCCCAGGCCATTCCCTGGAGCACCACACTCCTATAAACAGCCAGCCAGACCATACAATTTTACACACAGGCAACAGAAAAATAAGTCTTCCCCCACTAGGGGGAAAAAAAAAAATCAAACTATTGTCTTCACTACTGCAAAACTAAATAACTTACCTGTATAACCAAAGATCTATCATTGTGGAAATATTATCTCTTTTCCTTATATCCTGAAGGAGTTGAAGCTATGTCTAGAATAGAGCTTAAGCATCAGGGTTTCAGACTCTCAGCTTCAGCCATGGAGAATACTAGAAACTCTTAAATTCCTTTCTTCAAAATAAAATAATAAAAAAAAGAATTAAAGAAGGAAATTAACTTATGCTAATAGATTTACTCCTATGATAAGGCACAGCAGAAAATAGAATTTCTTCATAGTGACATCTTTGTTGCTACTTGGGAACGCTGTAGTAACCTCAGAGATGTTGAGAAAGTGGCATACATTTTTTAAAACCAACAAATACAAACCAGAAGAGCTTGCGTATACAAACTTCTTCCAACAACTAAAATACTAGCTTGAGTCAAAATATGTTGCAGTTTTTTCCACAGTCTAAGAATTGTTTTGAGGTAACCCTAAAGATTGCTTTTGATAGGTTACCTCAAAACAGAATTTATAATGTCCAACTCTTAGTCTGAAAGATTCCCCAAATTTTGGACTCCAAGTATGCAAACTGGGGACTAAACAAAACCTTTAGATTATTCACATCAAGAATCAACCAAATCTTCTATAACTGCATATGTGCTTAGTAAGGAGCTACAATACTCAATTATTAAAGGAAATTTCTACTGTTTTTGGCACATAAATTTTCAACAAGGACAAAAATAATAAGGACTTTCTAGGTTTAGTACCTAGTTAAGCCAGATATTTTATTTATTTTTTTCAAATTTTATTTGAAGAGAAAAAGAAAAAAAAGCAGAAAAAGGGTACAAGTTATACAGAATTTCAAAAAAAAAAATAAACAGTAGGAAATCACTAGTTAATGGATTACATATTGTCATCTTAGAAATATTTGTTCAAGTTACAAAATTAAAGCTTATATAGTGGACATTCAAACAATGAGACCAAACAGTTCTGTTCAATGATCCAACAAAACTCAGTAATATCATTGCCTATCTTATACATTTAAATATACATGCAGTTATATCGTTTAGAGCACTTTCTTTTCCTCTCTTTTGTACAATGACTATTACACATTTTTGGGTTTTATTGCTCCCACAGTTCTTTTTACTTTTTTTGGAAGAGAGTAAAACCAAATGTGACATAATAGAACAGAGTCGGTCAAATCAAAAGGGTGGACATAATAGATAATGTAAAAACATAATACAAAGGGGCTGGGGATTTAGCTCAGCGGCATAAGCACCTGCCTTGCAAGCAGGCAGTCATGAGTTCGATCCCCGATACCGATAAAAAGGAAAAAGACACACAAAAAAATAGTAATAATAATACAAGGTGATCAACAATGGTTACCATAATGCCTCCCGCTAACTCTTATAAGCCAGGTATTTTAATCAAGCTAATTACTGTTCCAAACTATTTCTAAGATAACAATATGTAATCTATTAACTAGTGATTTCCTACTGTTTTTTCTGAAATTCTATATAACTTGTACCCTTTTTCTGTTTTTTTTTCTCCTTAAATAAAATTTTAAAAAAATAATTACTGTTCCAATTCATAGAACAGTCTAATTATAGTTTTTCTAGTGCATTATATTATCCTTTTCAGAGAATGTATAATCAGGTTAAATGGCTTATTATGAGCACCCATATGCAAACAAAAACTATTAGAAAAGAAGACCAGCACATATTTATAATGTGAAGTGTCACTATATTATAAGCATAAGGCTAGATATCCTAAGGTGATACTATTCATGGTGAGGGATACCATTTATGGTAAGGGAAAGACTGATAAAAATTATCCAGCCTTGTAAACTAAACTAAGGTTACTGTTTAGTGAAAACAGATTACTGTTCTACAGGGACACAGACTAATATCTACTACCTAGAGATGCAACCTCTCCCAAATATGCCTTATAAATTCATGGAAAAAAAGGGGGGGGGGGACAATGTTTAAAAATAATCATTTAACTACACTTTTTGTTTGGTATCAGAAATTGAACTTGCAACCTTGTGCTTGCCAAGCAGGCACTGTGCCACTGTGCCATTGGGCTATAAACCTGGCCCCAGTTAACTACTTTTTTAAAAGCTTTTCATTAACAGGAAGAGACAAACCACAGTGGGAACATGATCCCACAAAAAGTAATCCTTGACTTAAAAATTAACTTTTTACACCAAAGACTCCAAGTGACAACTCTTCTTTGGGCTTTCACAAACATGGTGAAAGATTACATCCTACAGTGCGTGATGGTGGTGTCAATCAGAGTAGAGAAAATTCACAATTACAATATGTCTCTGGGCATAGTACATGGATGCACCCTTTCTAACACTCTTCTAGTTGGGCACATTCCTGCTCTCTTTCATCAGAATTCACTACCGAATGTCATTTATGGCTGTTAGGTACGCAGAAAAACTAATACTTACAGTTGAGTTCTACCAGTATTAAGAAGAGACAGGTTCTTGCAGATGTGTTCTTTAAGTCCTGAAAAAGAAACTTTGGTCAGTTACTTCTAACTAGATCCCAACTGGCCTTCATTAAAACTACATTTTTTTCTTACCTTGTAGAAAATGTTTCGCCTAGTATTTGATTCCCAAGTGTCTGTGTTTATCTGTCATCGCTGTTAACATCCATGTCACATTGAGACTTCACGTGTTAATTATTTATATGGCTGCACTAGCACAACTTGGTATCTGTGCAGGAAAACCACAATACAGTCACAATGGTAGTGCTGCCGTTTACAGGACCTGTGGATAAAACAGTAACACTCCTAAATACCCATTCAGCACAAGCAAATTCACAAGCAATAACTCACATGAGACATCATCATTGTCTGAGCAAGATGACATGTCGCCATCCTTAAAATGTTTAAAAACTCTTAAATTCCTTTTTTGAAATGAAATTTTAAAAAGGAAATTAACTTATGCTAATCGATTTCTCCTATGATAAGAAGACTCAGCAGACAATAGAATCTCTTCATAGTGACATCTTTGATACTAGGTTGGAAACTCTGAAATAACCTCACAGATGTTGAGAAACTGGTATATACTTTTAAAATCTAACAAAAATAAACCAGAAGAGCTTGAAATATACCAACTGTTTCCAACAATTAAATATTAGATTGAGTCTACCACAGACTACTCATAAACAAGTTTTCTAAAGTTCATTCTAAATTATAATTCCTGGGGGCTGGGGATTTAGCTCAGCGGCATAAGCGCATGCCTTGCAAGCAGGCAGTCGTGAGTTCGATTCCTGGCACTGATAAAAACGAAAAAAGACCAAAAAAAAAAAAAAAAGTAAATAAATAAATAAAATTATAATTCCTACAAGTCAGAGTGTCTTAGATTCCTTTACTGACTACTAACAAAGATACACCTCTTTTCCAAGTCTATAATTACTCAGACATGAACAGAAAAGCACTTTTTGTGTTTTATGAAATAAAAAGGAATTAATATATAATGCTTAAGAATTAAGTTATTAAAAACTCATGACTTTCCCTTCTGACAGGGGCTGCAAGGTAGCTCAGTGGTAGAGCACTTGTCTAGCACGTGGGGACACGAGCACTGCCAAAAAGAGAAAAACAAAAACACGTATTTGTTATCTTTTAAAATGACCTTTTACCTTAGACTCTGCCCTCTGTATAACTCATTTGCCAAATGTATTTTAGAAGTAAACAGCAAATAAATGTGATTTAAAGCAAACTGAGCAGGAGAATATATGTTTGACATGCACAAAGTCTTAGGTTCAATCCCCAGCACAAAAAAATAAAAACGAACTAAAATATTGATGCACAAACTTCATTAAAAATCGGCTTCTGAAAAACATGGACTCAAGTGCTGTCCAGTCTGAGAAACACATTACATACAATTTTAAGTCACTGGGTGTGGTGGTCCCAACTACTCAGAAGGCTGAGGCAGGAAGATCATTTGAACCCCCCAAATTCAAAGCTACCTTGGGCAACAGAAATCCCTTCTCAAAAACCAACCTTTATGTCATTTCCACTAACTAGTTTATCAGTTGAAAAAATGGCTTCTAGAATGTTCAGTCATCAAAGAAAAAAGCCTATGAGTAGATTTTAAAATGATTCACAATGGTATGCCAAACCAATTTCCTACATAACAAAAAAGAAAGAATCTATCTGGAAAATACCGACAACTTTACATTCAATTTGCGGATACAATTTGTTAAGGGTATCAATCAGGGCTGGTAATACAGCTCAGCAGAACAAGCACCTTTCTAGCAAGCACAAGGTCTTGAGTTTGAGTACTCCACCACCACCAAAAAAGCAGTCAGCTCTCAGAAGGCTAAATAAGATGGCAAATTTGACATTTGATCATTTTTTTTTTTGTCTTTTTCATTTTTATCAGTACCAGGGACCGCCTGCTTGCAAGGCAGGTGCTTATGCCGCTGAGCTAAATCCCCAGCCCCTAAGATGGCAAATTTGAGACCAGCTTGGAAACTTAAGGAGATCCTTCCTCAAAACCAGAATAAAACAAAGAGCTGGAGCTGGAGCTCAGTGGGAGAGCCTAGCTAACACGTAGGAAAGTGCCTAGCTAACATGCTTGTACCCAAGGTTCAAATCTCTGTACCAGAAAAATAAAACAGGATGTGCAAGTGTGTGTATGTAGAGGTGATCTTCAAATCTCAGAGAAAAGTTTTGTTAACAATGACTAACAGACACTGCTACTATCTTCAAACAATTCTCAAATGTTAAAAAAGAAAGATCTTAATACTACAAAAATGTTAACACAAATTACACAAGCCTACATTCAATGACTGTTATGACTCTTCTGGTAACAAACAAGATTAAACTAGACCTCACACTCACAGCACATACACTGTGCTTTACATGTCATTCATTGAGTGCATCAAGCTTCAGCACATCAGCAAAGATGCTACATGCTTTGCAAGGCAGCCATACCACTCCCAATTATAATGAGTTATGATTTGTTTTTCATTCGAATTACTTATTACAGTAACTTAGCTGAAGCTTTAAAAAATTGTTTTTTGTCTTTAAAAAAAAAAGACAGGCATGGTGGCACATGCTTTAGTCCCAGCATTTTGAGAAGCTGACCTCAGCCCGCTCAATTCAGCAAGATCCTACTGATATATGACAAAAATAGAACCTCCAAATGACAGAAGAAATACTGTAAACTCCCAACCTGCTAGATTTTCAATATGCCGAGTTCATGTTCCCCAAAACCAAAGTCTGAATTCTAAGGAACAATGGAAGTTAAGAGTAGGAAATATTTATTGAGGGGGAGAAACAGCTTCTGAGAGTCAGTAGGACCCCCAGTGGGTTGCAGATGACCCCAATTCTCAGGGTAAGTTTCAGAGAGCACATCCTCATGGGTACAACATGGGTCACAGCTATGATTATAGTATAGTAGCTTAGGTAATACTGACTTAATGGAGAAACAAGTCACATAGCAAGTACACATGTAAAGAACAAAGAACCTTTCAGAAGGGTGAGTCTGAGGGTCTTGATCACACACTGAAGTAACTGATGTCTATAGAGACTTTGTTACACCAGTGTTACCACCACTTATCTTAAGCCTGGTTACTGTCTTTATCTTGAGGTGTAATCTCCAGCAGATGCGCCTCCAGCCTGTTGTAATGAGTTCTCATTTCCTGCACTGACTCTCTCAAGGGTCCAGCCCTATCAGACAGCCTGTAATATTTCTACCTAATTCAGCTGTCTACAATACTATCTCAAAATTAAAAACAAAAAACTCGGGGAGGGGTGTAGTGTGTAGTGTGAAGTTCCTGGCCTCAATCCCCAGTATTCTCCTGCCAAAAAATAAAAAATGGAAAAGTCCCATTTGGAAAACCTTTTTATTTTATTCTTTTCTATAGAGCTTTGCTCATTTTCATATACTAATAAAATTTGTTAACTATTCAAGCGTTCGACAGCAAATCTAAAAACCATCTTCACTGACAAGAATTACTCCTCTCACCATTTGCAGCACAACAGTGGTACTCCTGGGTGGACTATATTAGAGTCTCAGATGCGGACCACACACTAAATCCCTTCAAAAAGACCACAGAAAAATGTCACTAGAAAACATCGTCATACAGCAAAGTTATGAGGCACACAGTATACTCTTAAACTGTAAAGTCCAATCCAAACACATCCTAAATTATGAGATACTACAGACCAAACCCAAGACCATGTGCACAAGTAAGCAGAGCTTCAACCTATGCAAGCCCTTTTTATCTACTTGGAGGCAAGGACTCGCTAAATGGCCCAAGTTGGCCTTGAACTTGCAATAGTCCTGTCTCAGCATACTGAGCAGCTGGGATTACAGGCATATGCCACCACTTCTGGCTTGTTGTAGTTTTTTATTTTATATAAGCTTGGAAAAAATTAAAAAGAAAGGTTATATACACTACAGATTCATCTAGTATCTGACTGTTCAGTTTCAGTAAATGAAAAAAAATTGGGGCTGGAGATTTAGCTCAGCAGGCATAAGCACCTGCCTTGCAAGCAGGCAGTCGTGAGTTCGATCCCCGGTACCAATAGAAAAAGACAAAAGATAAATAAATAAATAACTGCACTGCATTGATTTTAAAAGAAACTGAGAAACATTCAAGTCAGTTATAAAAAGCATTAATGATCAAAGACAGAAACACCTTTCCTAGACAATCTTTCATAGTTACTTGCTACTAAAAAGCTGAACTGAATGTTTATTTGGTAGAAAGCATGACCAAAGAACATCACATTTTCCTGGCTTCCTAACTGTTCAAAAGCACAGGTTCAGTATATCTTCTACAGATTTTAAAAATAATAGTATTTTATAGTCAACAAAAAGATAGCAGGTGGGAAGAAACAGAAATATAATTCTCCATCATCAATATTTAACTGGCTATGAGCAAGTCACTTTGGCCTTCACTTTATCTCTTCATCCAAAAACTGGAGCCCCTGGCACCTCCCCAGTTCCTCTCAGGAACTGTGAAGCTCAGAACAAAGTGATCCCATCTGTGTGGCACTTCAGAGCATTTGTTATCAAACTTTGGTACTAAGATATTCCTGGGTCCAGTTGCCTCAGAAATTCAGATTCATTTTGTCCCTTAAAATTGCATAGCCCTCAGAGTGACATAAAACACACACCTTTCTATATCACTCTTCTATCTAAAACTCTTTCAAGGGACATGTACCTCTGGCTGAGACAGAGCAACAGATGAAAAAAGAGAAACAGCTAAAACCTAGGCAAAATGTACGAAAATGTCCGAAACTAGACAATACAACACAGTGATCAAAGAGGAACAATAAATAAGACAGTGCCATAACTGCCCTACTCACTCTTGCAGAGTTCAGTCTTATGCTGGGGAGTATGGAGGGTGACAGTAAGTAAGCTCAGCTTCCATGAGTCCAGACACTAAAAGGAGACATTTGAAAAGGCCTGGGCAGCAGCCCCAGACCCTAGAACGCAGCACTAAAGCAGACAGTGCAAACAAGAGCTTGGAATACCTGCAAAGGTTTCCCCAAACTGTGAGAATAGATAAGTTTCCAAAAGAAAGACACCTGAAAGACAGGTATGCTGAAAAGTATGACAACTGAAGGGTTGGTAGGGTACAGCTTCCCACAGCCAAGTTTCCAAAGTCTATAGTGTGTGGCTAGGAGTTTAGCTCAGCAGCGTAAGAGTCTGCTTGGCAAACACAAGATCATGAGTTCAAACCCCAGCACCAAAGAAAAAAAAATTTAATGGCAAAGTCTACAGTATGCACACTTCTACCATGGCCACAT